CCCTCCCACCCGTTCCAATCCAACTTCTCTCTCACCCCTCCCACCCGTTCCAATCCAACTTCTCTCTCACCCCTCCCACCCGTTCCAATCCAACTTCTCTCTCACCCCTCCCACCCGTTCCAATCCAACTTCTCTCTCACCCCTCCCACCCGTTCCAATCCAACTTCTCTCTCACCCCTCCCACCCGTTCCAATCCAACTTCTCTCTCACCCCTCCCACCCGTTCCAATCCAACTTCTCTCTCACCCCTCCCACCCGTTCCAATCCAACTTCTCTCTCACCCCTCCCACCCGTTCCAATCCAACTTCTCTCTCACCCCTCCCACCCGTTCCAATCCAACTTCTCTCTCACCCCTCCCACCCGTTCCAATCCAACTTCTCTCTCACCCCTCCCACCCGTTCCAATCCAACTTCTCTCTCACCCCTCCCACCCGTTCCAATCCAACTTCTCTCTCACCCCTCCCACCCGTTCCAATCCAACTTCTCTCTCACCCCTCCCACCCGTTCCAATCCAACTTCTCTCTCACCCCTCCCACCCGTTCCAATCCAACTTCTCTCTCACCCCTCCCACCCGTTCCAATCCAACTTCTCTCTCACCCCTCCCACCCGTTCCAATCCAACTTCTCTCTCACCCCTCCCACCCGTTCCAATCCAACTTCTCTCTCACCCCTCCCACCCGTTCCAATCCAACTTCTCTCTCACCCCTCCCACCCGTTCCAATCCAACTTCTCTCTCACCCCTCCCACCCGTTCCAATCCAACTTCTCTCTCACCCCTCCCACCCGTTCCAATCCAACTTCTCTCTCACCCCTCCCACCCGTTCCAATCCAACTTCTCTCTCACCCCTCCCACCCGTTCCAATCCAACTTCTCTCTCACCCCTCCCACCCGTTCCAATCCAACTTCTCTCTCACCCCTCCCACCCGTTCCAATCCAACTTCTCTCTCACCCCTCCCACCCGTTCCAATCCAACTTCTCTCTCACCCCTCCCACCCGTTCCAATCCAACTTCTCTCTCACCCCTCCCACCCGTTCCAATCCAACTTCTCTCTCACCCCTCCCACCCGTTCCAATCCAACTTCTCTCTCACCCCTCCCACCCGTTCCAATCCAACTTCTCTCTCACCCCTCCCACCCGTTCCAATCCAACTTCTCTCTCACCCCTCCCACCCGTTCCAATCCAACTTCTCTCTCACCCCTCCCACCCGTTCCAATCCAACTTCTCTCTCACCCCTCCCACCCGTTCCAATCCAACTTCTCTCTCACCCCTCCCACCCGTTCCAATCCAACTTCTCTCTCACCCCTCCCACCCGTTCCAATCCAACTTCTCTCTCACCCCTCCCACCCGTTCCAATCCAACTTCTCTCTCACCCCTCCCACCCGTTCCAATCCAACTTCTCTCTCACCCCTCCCACCCGTTCCAATCCAACTTCTCTCTCACCCCTCCCACCCGTTCCAATCCAACTTCTCTCTCACCCCTCCCACCCGTTCCAATCCAACTTCTCTCTCACCCCTCCCACCCGTTCCAATCCAACTTCTCTCTCACCCCTCCCACCCGTTCCAATCCAACTTCTCTCTCACCCCTCCCACCCGTTCCAATCCAACTTCTCTCTCACCCCTCCCACCCGTTCCAATCCAACTTCTCTCTCACCCCTCCCACCCGTTCCAATCCAACTTCTCTCTCACCCCTCCCACCCGTTCCAATCCAACTTCTCTCTCACCCCTCCCACCCGTTCCAATCCAACTTCTCTCTCACCCCTCCCACCCGTTCCAATCCAACTTCTCTCTCACCCCTCCCACCCGTTCCAATCCAACTTCTCTCTCACCCCTCCCACCCGTTCCAATCCAACTTCTCTCTCACCCCTCCCACCCGTTCCAATCCAACTTCTCTCTCACCCCTCCCACCCGTTCCAATCCAACTTCTCTCTCACCCCTCCCACCCGTTCCAATCCAACTTCTCTCTCACCCCTCCCACCCGTTTCCAATCCAACTTCTCTCTGCACCCCTCCACCCGTTCCAATCCAACTTCTCTCTCACCCCTCCCACCCGTTCCAATCCAACTTCTCTCTCACCCCTCCCACCCGTTCCAATCCAACTTCTCTCTCACCCCTCCCACCCGTTCCAATCCAACTTCTCTCTCACCCCTCCCACCCGTTCCAATCCAACTTCTCTCTCACCCCTCCCACCCGTTCCAATCCAACTTCTCTCTCACCCCTCCCACCCGTTCCAATCCAACTTCTCTCTCACCCTCCCACCCCGTTCCAATCCAACTTCTCTCTCACCCCTCCCACCCGTTCCAATCCAACTTCGCTCTCACCCCTCCCACCCGTTCCAATCCAACTTCTCTCTCAACCCTCCCACCCGTTCCAATCCAACTTCTCTCTTACCCCTTCCCACCGTTCCAATCCAACTTCTCTCCCCTCCCAACCCGGTTCTTCTCTCTCACCCTCCACCGTTCCAATCCAACTCTTCTCTCACCCCTCCCACCCTTCCCATTCCACTCTCTCTCCACCCCTCCCACCCGTTCCAATCCAACTTCTCTCTCACCCCTCCCACCCGTTCCAATCCAACTTCTCTCTCACCCCTCCCACCCGTTCCAATCCAACTTCTCTCTCACCCCTCCCACCCGTTCCAATCCAACTTCTCTCTCACCCCTCCCACCCGTTCCAATCCAACTTCTCTCTCACCCCTCACCCGTTCCAATCCAACTTCTCTCTCACCCCTCCCACCCGTTCCAATCCAACTTCTCTCTCACCCCTCCCACCCGTTCCAATCCAACTTCTCTCTCACCCCTCCCACCCGTTCCAATCCAACTTCTCTCTCACCCCTCCCACCCGTTCCAATCCAACTTCTCTCTCACCCCTCCCACCCGTTCCAATCCAACTTCTCTCTCCCCCCTCCCACCCGTTCCAATCCAACTTCTCTCTCACCCCTCCCACCCGTTCCAATCCAACTTCTCTCTCACCCCTCCCACCCGTTCCAATCCAACTTCTCTCTCACCCCTCCCACCCGTTCCAATCCAACTTCTCTCTCACCCCTCCCACCCGTTCCAATCCAACTTCTCTCTCACCCCTCCCACCCGTTCCCATCCAACTTCTCTCTCACCCCTCCCACCCGTTCCAATTCCAACTTCTCTCCTCACCCCTCCCCCCCGTTCCATCCAACTTCTCTCTCACCCCCTCCACCCGTCCAATCCACTTCTCTCTCACCCCTACCACCCGTTCCAAATCCAACTTCTCTCTCAATCCCTCCCCCACCCGTTCCAATCCAACTTCTCTCGCACCCCTCCCACCCGTTCCAATCCAACTTCTCTCTCACCCCTCCCAACCCGTTCCAATCCAACTTCTCTCTCACCCCTCCCACCCGTTCCAATCCAACTTCTCTCTCACCCCCCCCACCCGTGCCAATCCAACTTCTCTCTCACCCCTCCCAACCCGTTCCAATCCAAACTTCTCTCTCACCCCTCCCACCCGTTCCAATCCAATTCTCTCTCACCCCTCCCACCCGTTCCAATCCAACTTCTCTCTCACCCCTCCCACCCGTTCCAATCAACTTCTCTCTCACCCCTCCCACCCGTTCCAATCCAACTTCTCTCTCACCCCTCCCACCCGTTCCAATCAACTTCTCTCTCACCCCTCCCACCCGTTCCAATCCAACTTCTCTCTCACCCCTCCCACCCGTTCCAATCCAACTTCTCTCTCACCCCTCCCACCCGTTCCAATCCAACTTCTCTCTCACCCTCCCACCCGTTCCAATCCAACTTCTCTCTCACCCCTCCCACCCGTTCCAATCCAACTTCTCTCTCACCCCTCCCACCCGTTCCAATCCAACTTCTCTCACCCCTCCCACCCGTTCCAATCCAACTTCTCTCACCCCCTCCCACCGTTCCAATCCAACTTCTCTCTCACCCTCCCACCCGTTCCAATCCAACTTCTCTCTCACCCCTCCCAACGTTCCAATCCAACTTCTCTCTCACCCCTCCCACCCGTTCCAATCCAACTTCTCTCTCACCCCTCCCACCCGTTCCAATCCAACTTCTCTCTCACCCCTCCCCCCGTTCCAATCCAACTTCTCTCTCACCCCTCCCACCCGTTCAATCCAACTTCTCTCTCACCCCTCCCACCCGTTCCAATCCAACTTCTCTCTCACCCCTCCCACCCGTTCCAATCCAACTTCTCTCTCACCCTCCCACCCGTTCCAATCCAACTTCTCTCTCACCCCTCCCACCCGTTCCAATCCAACTTCTCTCTCACCCCTCCCACCCGTTCCAATCCAACTTCTCTCTCACCCCTCCCACCGTTCCAATCCAACTTCTCTCTCACCCCTCCCACCGTTCCATCCAACTTCTCTCTCACCCCTCCCACCCGTTCCAATCCAACTTCTCTCTCACCCCTCCCACCCGTTCCAATCCAACTTCTCTCTCACCCCTCCCACCCGTTCCAATCCAACTTCTCTCTCACCCCTCCCACCCGTTCCAATCCAACTCTATCTCCACCCCTCCACCCGTTCCAATCCAACTTCTCTCTCACCCCCTCCCACCCGTTACATCAACTTCTCTCTCACCCCTCCCACCCGTTCCAATCCACACTTCTCTCTCACCCCTCCCATACCCGTTCCAATCCAACTTCTCTCTCTACCCCTCACCACCCGTTCCAATCCAACTTCGCTCGTCACCCCATCCCACCCGTTCCAATCCAACTTCTCTCTCACCCCTCCCACCCGTTCCAATCCAAACTTCTCTCGTCCCCCTCCCACCCGTTCCAATCCAACTTCGCTCCACCCCTCCCACCGTTCCAATCCAACTTCTCTCTCACCCATCCCACCCGTTCCAATCCAACTTCTCTCTCACCCCCTCCCAACCCGTTCCAATCCAACTTCTCTCTCACCCCCTCCCACCCTTTCCAATCCAACTTCTCTCTCACCCCTCCCACCCGTTTCACAATCCAACTTCGCTCTCACACTTGCCCTCCTGCCCCCTCCCTGCCTCGTGCCGTCTGTCAATCCAGCATGACGAGGCGGGTGACATGCCGGCATTCCAGTCCAACGCGGTTGACTTCTCAGGCTTCTCCTTCAAGGTACGCTGCCTGCCATGCATGGGTAGCTTGGGTAGTGATAGTCTGATAGGCCGATAAGCACGATGACTTTCCAGTCCAACATGGTTGACTTCTCAGGCTTCTCCTTCAAGGCATGCTGTCTGGGTTAGGTAGGTAGGTAGAACGGCTACGATGGGTAGGATGTATAGCCTGATAGGTTGGTTGGCTGATAGGCTCATGGGGTGAGGTGACACGGTGAGAGGTTGATAGGATGGGCTTGACAAGGTACGTGACGGCATGCACGAAATCAGAGGCTTTTTTCTACTTGTTCGAGCTAGAGCCTTTACAAAACCTCATGATTTCTCGTTTCAGACAGCTTCGTGACAATGCAGTATTTTCTTCTCAGGCTTCTCCTTCCAGGTAGCTTCCAGGATTTGAGCTCACCTAGAAAGCTGACGTTTCTCAGAGCAGCCCCATTTCATGGCCTCTCCCTCTCTCCCCCTTGTCCATTCATGTGTTTCAGAACCTCTCACAACTGGCTTTCATCAACACGGAGATTCTTGAAAGGCGGCAGAGCCCTCCCAATGGGCCAGCAACCGAGTCTCCATGATGTGTAAATATGGTAGTAGAAATATTTAAAATCACCATTCTTTCTTTTGCACTGCAGTAGTATTAGGCACTCCCACCCACCATTTCAACTGCTTATGAGCAACACTGCTCCCACCAGAATTTTTTAAAAGATGAATTTTAATCCCATAGGTCTTGAGATTATACATCAGTGGCTCTTCTCCTTTGTGAAGGTTTTATTTTCCCCTCTCCGTATATGCTGCCAAGGGGTTAGTGGCACCAGTGATTCTGCTGAGGAAGATGATTCTTATGAACAGTTGACTTCATACAAGTATGGCGCACAAAAGTTAGGTGTACAAATATCTAGGAAGTAATGCCAAACCAAGCCTCTCCTCACCCCTCTTGCTGTTCGAGGCCCTCGCAAACGGTCATGCGACGTCGCCTGACTCCAGGAGGCTTGGCTTGGCATTCCCCTGTGCGAACAATCTGTACTAGTGCCCCCGACACTTCTACAACCCAACCCTAGCTAGTGTTGAACACTGGACTGAAATTTTACGCCATGATCGTGTCCGCTGCTTCTGATTTCGTAACAGGGGCCAGCTGGCGAGCACCCGCGCTGCTGACGCGGCACGCGCGCAGAATCCAAGGGTGGGAAAGGATAGCGGCAGCTGACGGCCTTCTCGAAGCGTCCGACTGAAGCAGGCACCGCACGAGATGCTTCGCCTCTTCCGACACTCCCTCCCACTCCGCACCGCTCATATCAACCACGCCGCGAAGCACTTC